TGACTCCAAACACAATTGATTTCCCCCCAAAAATCCACCGAGTCCAAGAAAACTAGAACAAATGGAAACTTGCTCAATGTTAATCTGATAAGCTAAGAACAAGTTTCAGCAAAGGTTTCTCACTTTTGCGCATGTCCTTTGCGGACAGCAAGCTCTTTCGTTCGTGTCGTCTAAATACTTGGGGAAAATTCAAGGAAGCGTCTGGGAAGGGCATATCCGTTGGCAACGAGGGAAACTTCATTTTTAAAGGTGTTCCCGGAAATTATACACCGCCCGGGCTGCTACTCTCGAGAGTAAAGTTTTTAAGGCTTCTCTGGAGTCTCTTACCAACTGCTGCTCCACTGGAGGTGGCCCATCTTGGTTGGCGTAGACAATGGCAGGATTATACAGGCTGAAAACCACTGGATAAAAAACTTTCTTGCCTGTAAAAAAAAAAATGGGAAAGACTTGTTACTCCGCGGGAAAGACTGACGAAGGAAAGGCATCCACATGTCTCCCATTGTTGTTTTTTAAATAAAAATAACCGTTAAACTATTTCCCAAACACTGCACAGAAGAGTAAATTTGTAAAAAGCTTAAGAGGGACCCTGCAGACAGGATCCTGTGAATGGTTCCCGTTTGTTCTTTAGATTTTGGAGAACACCGTCGGATAATTTGGGTGGGTGAACCCTCCTAAGGTCTGAAAGATGTCCTCAAAAGAGTTTGTATACGAAGAGGCTTGCAGGCAAATGATTTCCAATGATCTTGAGTCCTAGTGGACAATCCCTTAAATATGAGCCAGCCGTGTGCTGAAGCTGCCAAAAAGGCCAACACAGTGCTGGGCTGCATTAACAGAGGGATAGAATCAAGATCACGTGAAGTGTTAATACCACTTTACAAGGCCTTGGTAAGGCCACACTTGGAATACGGCATCCAGTTTTGGTCACCACGATGTAAAAAAGATGCTGAGACTCTAGAAGGAGTACAGAGAAGAGCAACAAAGATGATTAGGGGACTGGAGGCCAAAGCATATAAAGAATGGTTGCTGGAATTGGGTATGTCTAGTCTAATGAAGAGAAGGACGAGGGGGGACATGATAGCAGTCTTCCAATATCTCAGGGGCTGCCCCAAAGAAGAGGGAGCCAAGCTATTCTCCAAAGCACCTGAAGGCAGGACAAGAAGCAATGGATGGAAACTGAGCACCCTGCCCTGCCCTTTAACATGACTTGCATGTAACACAGAGAGTACATTGAGAGTACAATATAAATTGTCTGTCTATCTATCTATCTATCTATCTATCTATCTATCTATCTATCTATCTATCTATCTATCTATCTATCTATCTATCTATCTATCTATCTATCATCTATCTATCTATCTATCTATCTATCTATCTATCTATCTATCTATCATCTATCTATCTATCTATCTATCTATCTATCTATCTATCTATCTATCTATCTATCTATCTATCTATCTATCTATCTAAGACCAAAGACATCCAGGCTGAATACAGAATAACAGAATTGGAAGAGACCCTGGAGGTCTTCCAGTCCAACCCCCTGCTCAAGCAGAAGACCCTCTACCACTCTGGAAAAATGGCTGTCCAGTCTCTTCCTAAAAGCTTCCAGTGATGGAACACCCACAACTTCTGGTGGCAAGCTGTTCCACTGGTTAACTGTTCTCACTGAGAGGAAGTTTCTCCTTAGTTCCAGGTTGCTTCTCTCCTTGATTAGTTTCTATCTGTTACTTCTTGTCCTGCCTTCAGGGGCTTTAGAGAATAGGTCGACCCACCTTTCCTCTGTGATAACCCCTCAAATATTGGAAGACTGCTATTGTGTCACCTCTCATCTTTCTTTTCATGAAACTAGGTGTGCATATCTAGTTATACTACCGTATATTGTGTGTGTGTGTTTATGTCTATGTGTATTTCTCTGTGTATGTGTAAGCACACACACACACATGACAAATATAATTGTCTGGCTTGTTTTCATGGAAGCCCAGTCCTGGCTTAGCCGTAAAGCTCAATTTGGCCACAGTTCCGTAATATACAGTTTTAGGAATAATAAGATAAATATAGAAATATTCTGCTGCATGAAATATGGTGGAACTGTGAGAAAGCGGCGATAGAAACATGAGACCCCCACTTTCCTTCCAAAAAGGACATGTGTAACACCATAATTACCCCTTACTATAAACACGTCCAGGTGTTCCACACACTTTTTTTTTACAAAACAGCTTATTTGCAGGAGTGCAAAATTACAAGGCAGGCAGCCAAATTCAGTTGGGCAGCCTGTGATATCCCAAAGAGGAACATTAAAGGGTAGGAAGGTGGAAAGCAATGCAGAGTTTCTTGTCATGTATAAAGTATCAGATTTTTATATATATATATAATCTTATAATTGGTCTTGTTTGTTATCATCTCAACAAAAGGTCTGTGAATGATCTGGGATGGAAGTTTACTCATGCCATGCTCAGGGGATAGAGTGAGGAGACGGCTCCTCAAAGGAAACCCCGTCTATAAATATAATAAATTAAATGGAAACCACTGTCTTACACCCCCTCCCCACCCCCCAAAGTAATTCAGTTTTTTCCAGATGTCTAACTTGTATATCCAACAACAGTGTTTAAAGCATTGATTCAGCAGTTTGTGGAAGATCAGCTCTTCGCAAGGAAAATATGTGAGCCTATCACGACTGAAGAAACCGTGAAAATGAAATGTCTCCCAAACATGTACAATGCAGGAGGACATCCAAAGAAAAATTTTGCAATATAAAGCTTCTTCATACTGGGGGGAAAAAAGGAAAGATCTAAAATGAGGGAAGGGGGAAAGGAAGATGGAGATAATTTTGCAATTAGTGGAACTTAATATATTTTATCTTCCTGGGTTCCAAGATCACCGCAGATGGGGACTGCAGCCAAGAAATTAGAAGACGCTTGCTCCTGGGGAGGAAAGCTATGGCAAATCTAGACAGCATACTAAAGAGCAGAGACATCACCCTGCCAACAAAAGTGCATTTAGTCAAGGCCATGGTTTTCCCAGTTGCGATGTATGGCTGTGAAAGTTGGACCATAAGAAAGGCCGAGCGCCAAAGAATTGTGGCCTTTGAACTATGGTGCTGGAGAAGACTCCTGCGAGTCCCCTGGACTGCAAGGCGATCCAACCAGTCAGTCCTAGAGGAGATCAACCCCGACTGCTCTTGAGAAGGCCAGATCCTGAAGTTGAAACTCAAGTACTTTGGCCACCTAATGAGAAGGAAAGACTCACTGCAGAAGAGCCTAATGCTGGGAAAGATGGAGGGCAATAGAAGAAGGGGACGACAGAGAAGGAGGTGGCTGGATGGAGTCCCTGAAGCAGTGGGCGTGAGCTTAAGTGGACTCCAGAAGATGGTAGAGGACAGGAAGGCCTGGAGGAACGTTGTTCATGGGGTTGCGATGGGTCGGATATGACTTCGCAATTAACAACAACATATCCACTTTTTAGAAGCATCAGGTGCAAAGGCAGGCCAGTTTCTTGGGTTCACAGGTACATTTTGAGAAGATGTGATGGCTCCTTCATCCAATTTACTTAGTAATGTGATTTTTTTCAGCTCCCCCCCCCCCAATCAGAACTGCAACGTTGGATCGAAAGAGCGAAATAAGAAGACTGAAAAATTGTTGTTTTTTTAACATGAGAAATATAAAAATGTCGGGATGGTTTATATAAAATAAATGTTTTCTCTGGGGGAAAAAAAAGAAGAAAAAAAATTCTATACTCTTTGCATTTTTACAACCCTACCGAACAGTCTCTGTTTTTTGAATTTATGAATTCACATTGGTTAAAACTCTTTTAGAATTGGTCGTTCTTACGATACTTATAACACCCCTTTTGTTTAAATTCATTCTTAAAACATTTGTGCTAGCTACCGCTCCGTTAGTTCTACTAGAATTAAAAAAGAAGCTTTATATTGATGTGGTTGTTATTTGCAGAAACATGAGGAAAATGTCTATATTTAATTGTCACTTATTCAAACAACAAGAACTGTTATTAATTTAAGGTTGGCAAAAGAGAATATTATTGGAAGAGAAAATCAAGCCAAGCCATTATATGGACTGTAGAATTATAGAAATTAATTGTTAGCTGTACCCAGCCATGCATTGCTGTGACTCAGTCTGGTTAAATTTACGTCCAACAGATGGCGCTGTTTTTCAAAAAAGCATGTTTTTACCTGTCATAGGTGTGACATCTATATAATAGTAGGTATATAAAAAACACGCGCGTATTCGAATGCAACGTTGTTTCAAAATTTCAAAGCAATCGGTGAAGAACTTTTGGAGATTTAAGATTTTGAACAAATGAACATTTACATTTTTATTTATATAGAAGATTGTTTACCAAATATTCACAAAGTGGCTGCTTACAACCACTGAGTATGCTCAACGTATGCTCGCAAAGTAGCCATATTCTATCATGAAAAAGGAGTAGGTTCCATAACCCACTAAGACACTTGGCACCACAGCTATCTCAAACACTTCACAAAAGTGTGCTGGTGGGATCGAAAGACCCCACCCTTCCACCTCATCCAAGGTCACAGAGGACCTGTGGATCCACAGGAAATCTCGTAAACTAAGAGGGTGCTAAAAATTATGGATTAGTAGCAGATCACCTCTCTGTTGTCATCATCCTTATTTTTATCATGTGGGTGAGAAACCTTAACTAGGTTCCAAGGAAGTCGGGCCTTATGACAAGGATGTCGAGCAGGGACCACGTTGTCCACCTCTTCTCCGTTCCCTTCAAGGTGTAACGGGAACCTACCTGGCTCCGTGTTCAGGCGGCAGCTATTCAAGAATTCCGCTGTGAAATAAATATCCACGTCGCAGAAGAACATCAGGACTTCCCCTTTCTCCCAAGCTCGGGCACCCACATCCAGGCCTTGGCCACGGTTGAATTCCTCATTCAGGGAGACCAGGGTGTAATTATGGAAGTCGGTCTCTCTAACAAGAGAAAGAATCGAAAGTTGGAGACATTCAACTTCTTGGTTTGTGGCCCATCCGCTCAAAACAATACCCTGAAGACCGATTGTTCAGCCTAGTTCAGTTCTCACTGGCTCAAGGTTGACTCAGCCTTCCATCCTTCTTTCTGAGGTCGGTAAACTGAGGAGCCAGATTGTTGGGGGGCCAGAGGCTGACTCTGTAAACCGCTTAGAAAGGGCTGTAAAGCTGGAAGGGACCTTGGAGGTCTTCTAGTCTAGCCCCCTGCTCAAGGTAGGAGACCTTACACCATCCCAGTCAAATGGCTGTCCAGTCTCTTCTTGAAAACCTCCAGGGATGGAGCACTCATGGCTCCAGGAAGGAAGCTATTCCATTGGTTATTTGTTCTCACTGTCGGGAAATTTCTCCTTAGTTCTAGGTAGGACGACTCTTTCATGATTTTCCATCCATTACCTCTTGTACTGCTCTCAGGTGCTTTGGAGAAAAAGTCAGTCACCTCTTCCTCTGTGACAGCCCCCGTCATGTAGTGGGAGACTGCTATCATACTGTTGAAGACGGATGACACTTTTGTGAAACTGCGTGGCAAGATCAGGAATGATAGAAGGGCTCCTTCATAGGAGTACGGGAAGGTGGACAATGTAGAGATTGACCTTCTAGACCAGACAGGTTCTGCATTGTCCACCTTCACATACTCCTATGAAGAAGGGTCCTTGGTGTTCTCTGAGCTTGGTTGTTTTGTTGAAGACATTTCATTATCAAACTAGGTACCATCATCAGGTCCTTGGTGTTCTCTGAGCGTGGTTGTTTTCTTGAAGACATTTCATTACCCAAACTAGGTACCATCATCAGTGCTAATACTGATGATGTTACATAGTTGGGTAGTGAAACATCTGCAAGAAAGCAAGAAAGCTCAGAGAGCACCAAGGACCCCACAGTCCTCCTTCTCCTCCTCTTTTCTGGAAACCTCATTCTCTTCTAGAACTGATGATGTTACCTAGTTGGGTGATGAAACATCTGCAAGAAAACAAGCAAGCTCAGAGAGCACCAAGGACCTCACAGTCGTCGTCGTCGTCCTCCTCCTCCTCCTCCTCCTCCTCCTCCTCCTCCTCCTCCTCCTCCGTCACTGTCCAGTCTCTTCTTAAAAGCCTCCAGTGATGGACCACCCACCACTTCTAAAGTCATTAGATCAAGCTCAATTCCAGAGATTTTTTACTGTTCCCTGTGATTAATGGAAATTATGTTTAGTCTCCTGCAATGTCACAGAATAATTTCCTTCTACAGTTTGCTGCCTTCAGTTCTGGCAGTGGAGGATTCACCTCGGCGAGATGCGTTACTCAAAGAAAAAAACCCACCCACCCACCCCTGTGTGCAGAAGGACCCCAGTCAAGACCAAAAGCAAAATTGCTCTCTCCTAACAGAGGGTTTTATTCTGGGCTCAGAGACTTCCATCTGCGCTTTAGACACGAGGTGACTCAACAGCGAAAAAAGTGCGTCCGTCTTAAAAACTGGGGACTGCGTTGTTTTGTACGGAAAAACAAAGCAAAGAGACCTCTTGCCAAGATCCACACCAGCCCAGCATTTTCAAAATAAAGGAAGGAAGTTAACTTTGCCCCTAAAATGAAAGCAAAACGGATCACAGATCCTTGCTCAGCTTCAGAAGAAGTTCTCCACTGGGCAGAGACGCAATCCGCTTTCCGTTCTTGGTCTCCTGTCCTGTCGTGACGTCTTGGAACTCACCTTGCAACGGATTGTAAGATGCTCTTGACTTCGGAAAGCCCTTCCTGTCCAAAATAGACCACGGTGAGATGAATCCGCTTGTCTTGATTAATGCAAACATCCCTGGGAGCAAAAAAGAAGAGTTTTTTTTAAGCAAGTCGGTGACTTCTTCGGAAAAAAAGAAAAGGTCCAAGGATCTCCTCTACTAGCCGTAGAAGATTTCAGAAATCTCCCAACGGATCGATCTAGTTGAAATCTCAGAAAGATCTTATCTCACTAGGGCCGTTCGAAAATCATCTGAGAAACAGAATAGAATAGAGTAGATTTCTGCGTAAGTTACCTTCTTGCAAATACAGATTGGAAATCAAGACGCGAGCAGCAAAAGGCTGCTTGGTGTTTGTAAGAAACAGACAGGATTGTTCCGTGGAGGAGTATGGAGTCTTAGTCAAAGATTAATTTTGGGATTTTATGTTGTTATTCTGAAACATATCAAGGTGATTGCCAGCATGATAAACAGGATTGTTTTTAGCAACAGCCTAGTGGTGTATTTTAATTCAGGATGTTAGCATCTCAATAATGTAACATTTTAGTATTTTCAAGATTCTTTCTAATTGTTAATTCATGCCATAGGTTAGTATACTATTGTCTCCTGTCCTCTCCTCCTCTCCTTTCCCTCCCCCCTCTCCTCTCCTCTCCCTTCATCTCATTCTCTTCTCTCCCCTCATGGTTTCCTCCTCTCTCTTCATCTCATCCTCTCCCCTCACAATCTCCTCCTCCTCCTCCTCTACCCTCCTCTCCTTTCCTCCTCTCCACTCCCTTCAGCTCCTCTCCTCTCCCCTCATAGTCTCCTCTCCTCCTCTCCCCTCGTCTCCTCTCCTCCTCTCCTCTCCCCTCCCACTTCCCCTCATCTCCTTCTCTCCTCTCCCCTCATCGTCTGGTCTCCTCCTCTCCTCTCCCCTCGTCTCCTCTCCTCCTCCTCCTCCCATCCCATTTCCCCTCATCTCTTTTCCTCCTCTCCTATCCCTTCATCTCATCCTCTCCTCCCCTCCCTTCTTATCTCTCATGTACTTACCTGAAATTTTGCATGAACTGTGCAAAAACCTCTGTCCTTCCCGCCAGAGGAACGATGATGTTGATCATCGACCGGGAGATGTCCACCGTCTCTGTCTTCACTTTCATGAGGGGACCAAACGGGCGGAACAGCGAGACGTGTCGGTACTCCATTTCGTCAGCTTTCTTGTAGAATAATTCATACTGGGAGCCTTTGTCTCTCTCCGTGCGGTAGTAACCTTGAGGACAATTCCAAGATTAAAATGACGGATTTTACAGGCAGCCAGAAAAGGCTGGGAAACACGTCCTGGCGCGTTTCCGGAGGAAATTTGCCTTTGACTCATTACTACAGGTACGTCCTCAACTTACAACCATTTGTTTAGTCACCATTGGAAGTTACAATGGCCCTGAAAAAGAGACTTATGACCGTTTTTCACATTGATGACTGTTGCAGCATCCCCACGGTCAAAACGGTGTGCTTGGCAACTAACTCATATTTATGACGGTCACAGCGTCCCGCTGTGTGTGTGTGTGTGTGTGTGTGTGTGTGTGTGTCACGTGATCCCCTTTTGCGACCTTCTGACAAGCAAAGTCAATGGGGGAAGCCAGATTCCCCTAACAACTGTGTGACTAACTTCACACCTGCAATGATTGGCTTAACAACAGCGGCAAGAAAGATCGTAAAATTGGGGCAAAACTCACTTAACAAATGTGTCACTTAGCAACAGAAACGTTGGGCTCGTAAGTCAAGGACTACCTCTATACAGGAACCCGCTCAACAAAACCAGCCAACTAACCACGATTTAAACATTTGCAACTTAGCATGAGTTATCAATCCGGCCCTTCATACATTAAACCCGGCATTTATAAAGACTTGGGATTAGAATCCAGCCAAGGTCCGTATTTTAAAAACGACCTTAAAACATTCAAGAAAAAAAAAGGAAAAGTTCCATTTTGCAGGTCGCAAAAGAAATATGTCATTCGTACACACAGGAGTACGTCCGTTTCAAGGCCTTTTACCAAACTGCGTAAATTTTGGGGTCAAATCTTGCTTGAGAGACAGTTCTGCAAAGCAGCTCAAACGTTTCTTGCAACTTCAAGATTAAGGGAAAGGGTTTTTTTTCCCTTTCCAGAAAACGTGACTCGCCCGCTGTAAATTCTGGCACGCAAAAATACAGCGCAGGGTGGAAAGTTTGCATTGCATGTGCTCGCGGCCCAGTTTGTGTGCGTGTGCGCATAAAATGTTTTCCCCCTCCTTTTTCCCTCCAGTCCACAAACCGAGAAAGGTTGGACACCTCTGATTTAGCCGGAAGGTTGTTCTCCAGGATTGGTTTGAGAGAGAGGCAATTGCCATAATTTAAGTGTTTTTCAAACTTGGTGTCAACGCCGCTAACATCGGATGTTCTTGCTTTGACAACATATGGAGATGCAGCCATTTTCCTTCTTATGTTTTACTCTTAGAATGAAGAGTTAGAATTAGATGATACTGGGTTGGGGGGAGGAGGAGGAATGTGCATGGGAGTTTAGTTAGACATAACAATATGGTAACTGGTGTGAGAACCAAGGTTTTTTGAAATAAGAGATGATAAGAAATGGCGGGTTGGAGAACTGGAGGGAAAGCCTGCATTTCAAACTAATTGGAGAATGTGATTTATGACATTTAATTAGAGGGGGGAATTGTGCTTGATACTATGTGCTCAGGGGAGGGGAATTCAGATTTTGGCTTCGACTATGTATGTGCCGATGTTATGCTATTCAATTAAAGATTCTTTAAGGTAAACAATGCCTCGAAGTTCTTTGAAGAGTTTCATCCGTAGGAACCATGACACTTGGCAACCTTAAGGTGTGCGAATTTCAACTCACTCCTGAGGTGTGGATAAAATCTTAGACATCCTATTAAGTGCAAGGAAGCATTACATAGATTTTAGATCCATGGGCTGCAGGATAGCTAGCCAGGTTTGCTGAAATCTCTGGTAGATGTTGGGCTGGGGAAGGCACGGCGCTTAAAACAAACTATGCTGAACACCATCGCTCACGCATACAACGGCGTGTTTACTCTAAGTAAACCAAGGTGGTCCTCGGTGTACGGCCGCAATGGAGCCCAAAATTTATGTCGCTAAGTGAAACATTTGTTAAGTGAGTTTTGCCCTCCCGTTTCCGACGTTTCTCGCCACAATTGTTAAATAAGTAAGTAAATTAAGTAAATTAATTAGTAAATTAAGTAACACGGTAAAGTAAAACTGGGTTCCCCGTTGATTTTGCTTGTCAGAAGGTCGTAAAAGAGGATGACATGATCCCGGGATGCTGTGACCATCATAAATATGAGTCGGTGGCCAAGCATCTGAATTTGGACCACAGGGATGTAAATTTGAAAAAAATGGCCGTAAATCACTTTTTTTCAGGGACGTCGTAACTATGAACGGTCACTAAACGAAACTGTTGTAAGTCGAGCACTATCTGTGCAGTGTGGAGATCAAATTGAACCTCCAGCCTAACCTCCAGGAATGCCACTTTTCTGCGGGTTTTTAAAAGAGGCGTTTTATGGTGCTCCTCATGGATCTTCTGAACAACAGGGAAAAATGAGTAACATGGAACAATGGAATGAATTTAAGACTGGCAATAAACTTCAGTGGGCTTGCAGATAAGCTGAGGGTTTGTTTCAAGAATTTAAATTTAATCAGCATCACAAAGGCTGCAAAGAATTCCGCGCGGCAAAAGAATCGTCTACGGGTTTGAGGGCAAAAAGTTTCCAGGAAGAATTTTATGAAAGGTTCTTTCACACACTCAGATCAAGTACAGATGGAGGGATAAACGTCACTGGAGATAGGAATGGAGTGCTAAATTCAAATTTATGACAAAGCCGTTCAAGGGAAGATCTCCCTGAAGGATTTTCTGGTATATGGATACGCTGGCTTTTTAAAGATGCTTAGAGACTACAAAAAAAAAAAAAAAAAAAAATCCAAAAGCCAGCTAGACATGAAACATCCTCAAGAACTGACAGGAGGGAGAGAAGAGAAAGTATTAATACCACTTTACAATGCCTTGGTAAGGTCACACTTGGAATACTGCATCCAGTTTTAGTCACCACGATGTAAAAAAGATGCTGAGACTCTAGAAAGAGTACAGAGAAGAGCAACAAAGATGATCAGGGGACTGGAGGCTCTTTAGAAGGCCAGATCCCGAAGTTGAAACTCAAGTACTTTGGCCACCTAATGAGAAGGAAGGACTCACTGGAGAAGAGCCTAACGCTGGGAAAGATGGAGGGCAAGAGAAGAAGGGGACGACAGAGAAGGAGGTGGCTGGATGGAGTCACTGAAGCAGGAGGCGTGAACTTAAATGGACTCCAGAAGATGGTAGAGGACAGGAAGACCTGGAGGAACGTTGTCCATGGGGTCGTGATGGGTCGGACACGACTTCGCAATTAACAACAACAAAAGTTTAATGAAGAGAAGGACGAGGGGGGACACGATAGCAGTATTCCAATATCTCAGGGACTGCCCCAAAGAAGAGGGAGTCAAGCTATTCTCCAAAGCACCTGAAGGCAGGACGAGAAGCAACGGATGGAAACTCATCAAGGAGAGAAGCAACCTAGAACTAAGGAGAAACTTCCTGACAGTGAGAACAATTAACCAGTGGAACAACCTGCCTCCAGAAGCTGTGGATCCTCCAACACTGGAAGTTTTTAAGAAGAAACTGGACAGCCATTTGTCCGAAATGGTATAGGACAGTGGTTCTCAACCTGTGGGTCGGGACCCCATTTGGGGTCAATCGACCATTTCATGGGGGTCGCCAAGCAAGGCTGTCCGCCATTTTTTTTGTCCGCCATTTTTTCCCCTTTTCCGGCAGGTGCCTTACCTCCCTTGGGCTGGGCCAGCTGGTGGTCGGCCTGCTCCGTCTCTGCCGCTTGCCAGCTACGCCTCGGCCAGCGCAGGGGGCGGAACCACGCATGCGCGGCGCTCCCGGGCAGGGAAAGTCCTTGATTTACGACCGGTTGGGTAGTCCTTGACTTACGACCGGTTTAGTCCTTGACTTACGACCGGTTGGGGTCGCGGCATTAAAAAGGTTGAGAACCACTGGTATAGGATTTCCTGCCTGAGCAGGGGGTTGGACTAGATGACCTCCAAGGTCCCAACTTTATTATTATTATTATTATTATTATTATTATTATTATTATTATTATTATTATTATTATTATTATTATTATTATTATTATTATTATTATTATTATTATTATTATTATTATTATATGCCCACGTTCGCCCCAGTCCTGACATCAGATAATTACTTAAGAGGAATGAGGTGTTCTAGATGTCTTCAGTGCTTTGGCAAATCTGTTACGTTTCCCAAATTATCTTTTCCCCCAAGCATCTATTTATGAACTGCTGGGTATTTGGGGTGAGGGTTGGGTGAATGGAGAATCCATATTAATTTTGTTGTTATTGACAAAGAGAGGGAGGGAGGGAGGGAGGGAGAGAAGGAAGGAAGGAAGGAAGGAAGGAAGGAAGGAAGGAAGGAAGGAAGGAAGGAAGGANAAGAAAGAAAGAAAGAAAGAAAGAAAGAAAGAAAGAAAGAAAGAAAGAAAGAAAGGATTCTAGTTAAATTAGAAGACTGCAAAAACAAAACTTGGAAAGAAAGAAAGAAAGAAAGAAAGAAGGAAGGAAGGAAGGAAGGAAGGAAGGAAGGAAGGAAGGAAGGAAGGAAGGAAGGAAACTTTATTTCACAAGAGAAAGGGAAAGGAAAGGGGAAAGAAAGAAAAGAAGGAAGGAAGGAAGGAAGGAAGGAAGGAAGGAAGGAAGGAAGGAGAGGGAGATGGCTAACTATTCTAGTTAAATTAGAAGAATGCAAAAACAAAACTTGGAAAGAAAGAAAGAAAGAAAGAAAGAAAGAAAGAAAGAAAGAAAGAAAGAAAGAAAGAAAGAAAGAAAGAAGGCTATAAAGCAGGGAGCTGTGAGCTCAAGAACCTCTGTTGGATATGTTTGCTGCCTTTGGTTATTTGTAAAAAAATAAAATAAAGGGATATGATTTCAAAACAACTCAAATCCTGGGAAGGCTTGGGAACCCGAGGCCAATCTTTGCTTGGGGCAATTGGACTTTTTTTAGCGCGGTGTACACTGTTCCTAAAGTTTAAATCCTTGAAATTGGCATTAAAACACACCAACAGATCGGTCAAAAAGAGTTGACTGTGTCAGGAACATCAAACAGAGCAGCTAACTGTTGACCAGGAAGGGGGAATTTCCTGTTTCTCTGAAACAACTCAGTGGGTGTTTCAACTAAATTACAACACGCTTTTAAACCTCCCATCCTGTTGAAATCTAAAAAAAGGGGAAGGCACAATTACCAGGTTGACCCACGAACAGTCTCAAACAAGCTGACCAAAACGGGTTTAAACGGTACCACTTCTTCACTCCTCGCCACTAAAGCTGTCAAAAGCAAGGAAGCTTAGGGTTGGCTAAAGGAAGCCGTAAGTTACAAAACTGACTGCTCTAAAAATTTACTGTTTTCCCGTAAGGATTGAAAGAACGATTCAACAATACCTGAAAAACATCTGGCCTTGGCTAATTTTGAGCGTCAGGCTTTTTGTCGTAGGAAATTACACTAGGAAGCCAAGCTCAGCGTGCAGAGAACGTGTCCTGGGTATTCAAGAATGAACCGCATGAGCGAAAATGTTGTAATTAAAGGGGGGGGGGGATATTCAGAGAAGAGTGGAATATCAACCAGCATCTTAAATAATTATAAACCTGCAGATATTTTATGCCTGTGGAGATCTGGAGGATCTGACCTCACATCTTGGGAATGGTCCAATGCACTCTCCACCGTAAATATTTTTAGTGAGACAATAAAATCATGTTTTACGAGCGTGTTTTGGAATCTAAGCGGCATCCCAAAGAGAATTTCTCCATCCTGCTGTCTGAAGATCGAGTGATCAAGTGAAGCTACCACTATGAGGTCTGTGGGGTTTCTCAACCATCCAGGTCATCGTTGTCCCAAAGGTAATTTTTCCCAAAGGCAACTGGACTTTCTTGTTTCGTTTTTTTCCCTTTGAAAATATTTCACTTCTCGTCCAAGAAGCTTCTTCAGTTCACGGATGAGAAGCGAAACGCTTTCAGAAGAAGAAGAAAAAACAAGAAAGTCCAGTTGTCTTTTGGAAAAAGCACCTTTGGGATTACTTGTCAAGGATGAAACTTTGGCAGCTACGTGCCTCTGCATTTCAACTTGCCTTCAGATTAAGGTGGGGGGAGAGTGTTACTTTCAAGTGGGCTAGATGGAGAAATGAAACTTCTACGATTCAGCTGAAGATAGTGAGAGCCTGAAGCCTTTTCAAGGACACCAGAACAGGTGCCGATCAGAAGCAGATGGTTCCCATAACAAAGTAAACTTGTTTATATGGACTACGCTGGGGGTTTGACTGGGAAAATTATTGGTGTTGGAGCCTCAGAGTTAGTTTTGCTTCAATAGTACCACACAATGTATTCAATAAAGAGTAAGATTTTCAGAGACGGATTGAACCTGGAGTTTTATTTTTTATTCCTGAGCTGGATGTTGACATTACCACTATAAGCTTCTTAGAAACCAGAAAAACCAACTGGTTAAGCTGTTTCACACCTCTCTCGTATATTGGTCTTGAATAGTTGTCTTCTTTGAAGACATATTCTACCTTAGTTTCAAAATGCCAGAGGAAGCTGAGAAAATACTGTTTATTCATGTGTCTCAGGCAACTTAAAAGTGTTTAAACATTAGAATTTACTGACTATTAACATGAGTCACCGTCTGGGACCCAGCTAATGAACTGAAGGAAGCCCAAGATCAAAGAATGATGACCACTGTGTTTTGCCAAAGCAAACTGTGTGGGTCGTTAAGTAGACTCAGCAAGAAATATTTAAGACTGAAGCTCAAAGTACGCCTAGCTTAAGAACTCCTAGAACAGATAGCAAATACTGAGCAAGATTTGTCAATAAACATGTAGTTAACGGAGATGCTGGCAGACAGCTAAAGCACAACCCACAAGCCATGTGTTGTGAATTAACTGAATATCTGACAGCTCATTTGGCATTCAAATCTTAGGTAGAGCTATGGTTAATAATCATGCAGGGCAGGTAAGTCACAAAACCGTGAAGATGTAGATTTCTAGTTTAGAAAAAAAAATTAGATGGCCAACCGTAACAACAACTGGAACAACAAGATGGAAGAGAATCTTTGAAGCTCCAGGTTGAAATGTGGAATTCTCGGTGTTTGGTAATGAAATGTCTGCAAGAAACCAACCAGGCTGAGAGAGCACCTCTGAGCCTGGTTGGTTTCTTGGAGACATTTCATTACCAAACTAGGTTACATCATCAGTGCTGTGCTGATAATGAACATCCTGATGAACCAAGCTTAGAGAGAGCCCTCCATAAAGAAAATACATCAAACAGAAGTATTGTTGCTTTTTTAAGGTAGCCTCAATGTCCTCTGGATTTAATTTTTTTTAAAGAAATATTTAGAAAAGATTGGTTATGTATCATTCTCAGTAACTCAAAAACATCCTGCAGCCAAGAAGGCTCCACACCCATTTGCAGTACACAGGTGACCCTGAGGACAAAGATAAACCTCCAGGTGGCCTCAATGACTCTCTAAAAGGATGCAAATGACCAGCTGTCTGCAAGGAGTATAAATCCTTCCATTTCCCACCATCCAGTCAGAGCTGAAGAAGCTTCTTGGATGAGAAGCGAAACATTTTCAAAGAAAAACAAAGGAAGTCCAGTTGCCTCCTGAAAAAGCACCTCTGAGGACACAGACAAACCTCCAAGTGGCCTCAACGACTCTCTAAAAGGATGCAAATGACCAGCAGTCTGCAAGGAATTCAAATCCTTCCATTCCCACCATCCGGTCAAAGCTGAAGAAGCTTCTTGGATAAGAAGCGAAACGTCTTCAAAGAAAAACAAAGAAGTCCAGCTGCCTTTTGAAAAAGACCTTTGGGATTAATAATAATAATAATAATAATAATAATAATAATAATAATAATAATAATAATAATAATAATAATAATAATAATAATAATAATAATAATAATAATAAAGTTGGATTGAAGGTCATCAAGTCCAACCCCCTGCTCAGGCAGGAACCCTATACCATTTCAGACGGCTGTCCAGTCTCTTCTTAAAAACCTCCAGTGTTGGAGCATTCACCGCTTCTGGAGGCAGGTTGTTCCACTGGTTAATTGTTCTAACTGTCAGGAAGTTTCTCCTTAGTTCTCAATATCTCCTCCAACTCTCAGAGATGGAAGTAAAGATGATAAGTGACGACTTGAATCGTTAGGAAGGGAAGCCCTAAAAATAACTACATCTGAAGCTTTTTAAGATAGGTGAGATTTTAAGGATGAGGTTGGGTGTCAGCGCGGCAATCCAGCTCACTTCGCAATCTCTGCTCACAGCATGACAACAGCAACGGTGGGAGGGAAAGAATTGGAACACAAGGCGGTAAATGGGGTGAGGTGGGGGGACAAAAGAATGCAAACACCGGCTCGGGGCCTGAGACAACGCCAGTGTCCCAAGGTCACTTGCTGAGAAGGTCTGCAAGACGGAGAGTCCATTCCCCAAACAAAATGAAGTCAGCTGCTTGGAAGGTAAATAATAGTAGCGGAAAGGCCAAGGGGAAAAGGAAAAATTAACTACACTATTTGTGCGCGAAATATATCAGAATTGGCTTTGCTACTTCTGTAACCATGTTGGTCTAATAAATTACACTCTTGGAGAAAAGAAACGTCCCAGGGGTCTTTATTTACTGCACGAACCAAGTGGGACGGCTGAAAACAGTATTTATCATCAAGCTGTTGTAAATTCTGCCAGTCTCACGTACATCAAAAGTTGAACACACTAAAGCCCAACACACTCTTTAATAAACCGATTCTCAACACAGAGCTTGTGAACACACCTGTTACATTATCTAATTGCTCAAGGTGACCCCAACACTTAACTATTTAAACATTTTTAGCATTTGACCACAATCGAACTATTGGTGAGCAGGTAAAAAGCTCCGTCTTTTGTTTCGTTAACTGTCCTACAGACAGTCCTCAACTTACAACAGTTGGTTTAGTCACCGTTCGAAATGACAGTGGTACTGAAAAAGGTGACTTGGGACTATTTTACACACTTATGACTGTGGCAACATCTCTGAGGTCACGTGATCAAAATTTGGGCGCTTGGCAACTGGCTCGTACTTATGACAGTTGCAATGTCCCAGGATCATGTGATCCCTTTTGCGACCCTTCTCATAGACAAAGCCAATGGGGAAGCCGATTCACTTAACAACTTCAAGGATTCCCTTAACCTTGTAAAAGGGGGCAAAACTCAGTCTCGCTTGGTGACAGAAACTTCGGGCTCAACTGTGCTCGTAAGTCGAGGACAACGTGGACTTAATCGGTGCGGAATGCCTTCCTGCAAACTCTTAATAGTAGCTCAATAGTAGTAACTGTGAGAGGGACCTCGGAGTCCTAGTGGACAATCACTTCAACATGAGCTAGCCGTGTGCTGCAGCTGCCAAAAAGGCCAACACAGTGCTAGGCTGCATTAACAGAGGGAGAGAATCAAGATCACATGAAGTGTTAATACCATTTTACAATGCCTTGGTAAGGCCACACTTGGAATGCGGCATCCAGTTTTGGTCACCACGATGTAAAAAAGATGTTGAGACTCTGGAAAGAGTGCAGAGAAGAGCAACAAAGATGATTAGAGGACTGGAGGCTAAAACATATAAGGAACGGTTGCTGGAATTGGGTATGTCTGGTTTAATGAAGAGAAGGACGAGGGGGGACAGGATAGCAGTCTTCCAATATCTCAGGGGCTGCCCCAAAGAAGAGGGAGTCAAGCTATTCTCCAAAGGACCTGTAGGCAGGACGAGAAGCAACGGATGGAAACTAATCAAGGAGAGAAGCAACCTAGAACTAAGGAGAGACTTCCTGGCAGTGAGAACAATTAACCAGTGGAACAACCTGCCTCCAGAAGCGGTGAATGCTCCAACACTGGAAGTTTTTAAGAAGAGACTGGACAGCCATTTGTCCGAAATGGTATAGGGTTTCCTGCCTGAGCAGGAGGTTGGACTAGATGACCTCCAAGGTCCCTTCCAACTTTATTATTATTATTATTATTATTATTATTATTATTATTATTATTATTATTATTATTATTATTATTANTCCTCTTGAGCTTCTTCATCGGGATTGTTGATCACCTCCAGGCCGGCCTCGATCACCTCCACCAGCTCATCCCGCTTGTCCTTGCGGACCGGCTTCTCCTCCGGGTGGCGGGTGAGGCCCATCTCCAACTGGTAGACCTTCATGGACGTGAAGCTCTCGAAAGGGATGGCGGCGTATTCGCTGGGCAGCTTGGCGCCGACGCTCACTTCCGCTTTGTCTATCTGAGAATGCAGGTACTCCAACAGGTCGTTGGAGGTTTGTTCCTTGACGCCCGGAGAGCCCACGTTTTGGACTTTGGGGTTCTTCTTGTCCTGCAACAGCTTCAGGTTCTCGCTCATCTCTTGAAGTTCCAGCTTCAGCTGGGCGATCTGACGCTTGAGGCTGGTGGCCCTGTTTTGGTAGTGTTCTTCCTGCTCTTGTAAAAGCGCCTGGTAGTGTTCCTTGCCGAAATGATCGCCTCCGAGGCCGGGAAGCGACCGGTTGCTTTCTGTCGGCGGGGCGCACTCCAGGAGATACATGATCAGCAACAGACTCAGCAGCAAAGCCAGCCCGACAAAAAGCCACCGAGTTTTGGCTTGGAACATTAATCCTCTCCTAGGCATCCTTAGAGCGCTGCGGCCGTATTCCCAAACGACGCACAAAGCCGATATGCGCAGGTCATTCCTTGCTATCTGGAGGGAGCCATCGTTCCGGAGGCAAATCCAGAGGGCTCTCAACGGTTACAGCCATAACATTTCAAAAGCCGTCTTCTCCGAGCAACGGATCGCCAAGTTGAGTTTAAATCCCCAGATTACGCCGGCTTCCATTCCGGCCGGCAGTTCCAGTCCAATCGGCCGATGCGTCTCTCTCTCCTTAAATAAGGGCTGTTTGCGTAAACAGGGAGGACTGTTCTAGCCCAAAAATCACTCGCCCTTTGTTTTCCAGCATAACACCCTTAGGTTTATCATCAACTTATATGAAAAAACAAAGGAGAAACGTCTGGAAATGTCGACGATCTTCCTGGGCCTGGAGTATGTTTGAGCTCCTCCATGGACGTACTGCCAAAAAAAAAAAAAAAAAAAGCAGAAATGAGTATTTCAGCAATACCAGAGAGACAGCAAGGAATTTTCATCCAGCGTTCGCCCTTCTTGGAAGATCCGTGCTCTGAGTCAGCAAAATAAAGAAAAAGCCTAATATTACATGGGGAAGAAAAAAAAGAGAAAAAAAATACTTGGTTAGAACTACGAAGGAACCGGACAGCTGGAAAGCAGATCAAAGCAATGCCTAATATGCTAAAAAATCTAGATGTAATGAATTACATACCAATTTATGGCTAGGCTGGAATAGGGGGAAAAAATGGTAATGCCGACATATTTTCTACTTTACTCATCTGCAAGCTCCTTCTTAGGAAACAGATTTTTTAATTTTTTTTATAAAGTATAACTGGTCTGTCAAAACTCGTCCCACGAGAGGCATTTTAACTTTTCCAAGGAGCATCCAAACCAGCTTTTTTCATTTGCTAAATAAAATCTGGAATGGAAAAAAACAAAGTCAGCAAGCTCTTCGTTCAAAAGGGCTTTTAAATTTAAGCATTAGAAGGTCAAAAAGTTTCATTGGGGAAAATTCTAGAGCTGGGGTTCTCAAAATGAATCCTACCGAAATATAAACTACGACGCGGCCTTTCAGATTTCAGTTATTTCAAGGCTAGTTGGGGGAACCAACACAGTTGCTTTAGTTTAGGAACTAAAATACGTTTCAGAATACAGAATAATAAAGAGTTGGAAGGGACCTTGGAGGTCTTCTAGTCCAGTCCCCTGCTCAAACAGGAGACCATATACCGTGCTGGGCAAATAGCTATCCAGTGATAAGCTGTTCCACTGATCAATTACTTTCACAGTTAGGAAATTTCTCCTTATTTCTAGGCTGGATCTCTCCTTGATAAGCTCCCACTCTTGATACTCTTGATAATGCTCCAACACTGGAAGTTGTTAAGAAGAGACTGGACAGCCATTTGTCTGAAATGGTATAGGCCGTTTCTTGCCTGAGCAGGGGGTTGGACTAGATGACCTCCAAAGTCCCTTCCAACTCTGTTATTCTGTTCTATTCCATTCTATTGGGGGGGGGACACAATCTTCCCAATGCTCTAAAAAAGTATATTTCATATATATATATATATAGGACTAAGGATAAAATAAAGTTAAAATACAAAATGCCAAAATGTTTTTAAAAAAGGACAACAGAATAAAAAAAAAGATAACAATGAAGAAAAGTGTCTTTAAAGAGAGAGAGAAAAGACTAACACATAAAAACACGTAACATCCTCCCTAGCTGAATGCTGATTAATATAATGCAGCCTAGTTTTTTTTAAAAGCAATTTCTCACAAATATAATCTGCAGGTGCTCCAGGCGTTTGGTCTGGCATTAAAAAGATGGTTATCTGAAGAGCAGAGCAAAGAAATATTTATGCATTCCCAAGTCAGGGCTGATATTTAGTATGATAAAAAGCATATGCTTAATTTTAAATCGTCGTATTTATTTGCCCCAGTTACTATTCCTGTATCTGCACACAGCCTATGGAGCACCTGCAACAAAAAACCCTTTGCTTGAGAGAGCATTTCATTTAAACCAAGATCCCCAAGCTTCAATTATGAAACTTTTTTTTACATAATTCATCATTTGGAACCAACTTTTCAAGTTTCCTTGAAGTGGAATATATCCCTTCTCCAAATAGGCGGAGTATTAGTACCTCTTTGTAAAACCCTAGTGAGGCCACACCTGGAATACTGAAGCCAATTTTGGTCCCCATGCTACAAAAGAGATGTTGAGACTTTGCAAAAAGTTCAGAGAAGAGCAACTAAGATGATCCAAGGCCTGGAGACTAAAACATACGAAGAACGGCTGCAGGGACTTGGGTTTGGCTAGTCTAAAGAAAAGAAGAAATAGGGGCGACGTGATAGCAGTATTCCAGTATTTGAGGGGCTGCCACAAAGAAGAGGGGGTCATCAAACTATTCTCCAAAGCACCTGAAGGCAGGACACAAAACAATGGTTGGAAATTAATCAAGAGAGAAGCAACCTGGAATTAAGGAGAAACTTCCTAACAGTGAGGACAATTAACCAGTGGAACAGCTTGCCTCCAGAAGTTGTGAGCGCTCCATCACTGGAGGTTTTTAAGTCAATTGTCTGAGATGGTATAGGTTCTCCTGCTTGAGCAAGGGGCTGGACTAGAAGACCTCCAAGATCCCTTCTATTCTATTCTATTCTATTCTACTCTACTCTACTCTACTCTACTCTACTCTACTCTACTCTACTCTACTCTACTCTACTCTACTCTACTCTACTCTACTCTACTCTACTCTACTCTACTCTACTCTACTCTACTCTACTCTACTCTACTCCACTCCAGTCCACTCCACTCCACTCCAGTCCACTCTATTCCCTATTCCCTATTCCATTTCATTCCATTCTCCCTGCTATAAAAACCTCCTGTTCCTTATGTTGTTGTAAATTTAGGTAGCCTGTGCTGTGCTGTTAGGTTTGTATCTTGTCGTTCCTTCGGCAAACTCTTGTATAATTTCCGCTGTGGTGACACGAAGCTATCAACTACCTTCTTCGGGTATAAATTAAAGAATGAGTGGAAATTTTCTGGAATGGCTGATGATGCCCAAGACTATCTTCTTGTGAAGTCCTTGAACAGGAACCATGAGTGATAAAAAAAGGAAGGCAGATCTACACAAAAAGTAGATAAATAAAAGCCGGATAAATGTCAAGGTTGAGAAAGACATACTAACATTCAAGGAAAACGGAGCTGAATGGAATGATAACAAACAGAGATTGGAATTGCAAGAGGTCACGTGAGGAAGATAAGCAAGGTTCTCCTAACCACGATGCACCCCCTGATTGCTCAGACAGGGGGCAGTGTTTCCCAAGCCAGATATCTACCTGAGCATTGAGCTCTGGAAACCAGGCATCAAGTTTATGGGCCGAAGAAGACAACTAATTATAAATTAGAGGACAAAATCGGCCTTGTCTAGTACGTGATCACGTGATCAAAATTAAGAGGCTTGGCAACTGGCCTGTACTTATGACGGTTGCAGTGTCCTGGGGTCATGTGATCCCCTTTTGCAACCTTCAGACAAGGAAAGTCAACGGGGGAGCCAGCTTCGCTTAACCCCTGGGTGACTAACTTAACCACTGCAGTGATTCACTTAAAAACTAGTGCAAGAAAGGTCATAAAACGAGGCAAAACTCACTGAACGACGGTCTTGCTTAGCAATCAAAATTCTGGGCCCGATTCTAGTCATAAGTCAAGGACTACCTGTATAACAATGAAATTTTTCCTCTAAGGAGATGGATCTTCCAAAAATTGCTACCGTTTGTCACAGGGTGATTGACTTTTTAATTCAGCCAAGTTTAGGGAGGGATCAAAGGTCCTCTTAAATCAACACTACATAACTTTCTGAAATCAACTGGCTTTGACTCAGGTTGACGAACTCAGGATCCTCCTGCCTCTTCTGCAGCTAGACTGCTAACCCATTCGTAGATCACAATAACTGGAAACAAAAGAGAGAATTCTGACATTTACACACACATAACACAGGCCCAGAGTTACCATACAGCGCCATGCTATCAAAAGTCTGCTATCCTATTTCTCTCAATCTCTCTCTCTACATACACACACAGTCTGTCTGTCTGTCTGTCTATCTATCATCTATCAATCTATCATCTATATCTATCTATCTATGTATCTATCTATCTATCCATCTATCTATCTATCTGTGTTTCTATTTATCATCTATGTTTCTATTTATCTATAATTTCTATTTATCATCTGTCTGTCTGTCTATCTATCTATCTTTCTATTTACCTTTCTATCTATCTATCTATCTATCTATCTATCTATCTATCTATCTATCTATCTATCTATCTATCTATCTATAGAAAGAAAGCATTCTTTCTTTCTCTTTTCTCTTTTCTTTCTTTTTTCCTTTTCTTTTTCTTTCTCCCTCTTTCCTTCTTTCTTTCTCTCTCTCTCTCTCTCCCTTTCTTTCTCTCTCTCTCTTTCTTTCCTTTCTTTCTCTTTTTTCTCTCCCTCTTTCTTTCTTTTCTCTTTTCTTTCTTTTTTCCTTTTCTTTTTCTTTCTCCCTCTCCCTTTCTCTTTCTTTCTTTTTCTTTCTTCCTTTTCTTTTTTTTATCCCTTTTTCCCTCTTTCTTTCTCTTTCCTTCTTTCTTTTTCTCTTCTTTCTTTCTCTCTCTCTCTTTCTCTTTCTTTCCTTTCTTTCTCTTTCTCCCCCCTCTCTCTCTCTTTCTCTCTCTCTCCCTCCCTCCCTCCCTCCCTCCCTCGCTGTAAATGGGATAAAACAAAGAGGAGGAACAGCCATGTGTGGCTTGTGACTCAGCCTGTAAAAACCTCGAGATGGAACGGTTGCTCCCTCTGGGGATCCATAAACGAAGCCTGCTCATGGACACTCTTCCCGTAAACTGTAGATTGCGTACATATCACGGCTTCCTCTATGAACCACAGGTTACATTTAGAGGATCGGGAGGTGCCCCACAGCAGCTATGCCTTCACCAGAGGTCCCTTGACCTCCAAAGTTATAACAAATACATTAAAAAAAAACCTTTAAAATCCCCAGAATATATTAATTTCCAAGTAGGAATACAATTGGGTTCTCCTCACATGAGGTCTTATAAAACCCACTTTTCCCCCAAAGTTTTCTTCGTTAATTTAAAATGTTGTGCTATTTTTGTCCCGTTGCATTATATGAAAACCCCACTATAATATTTATTTGCAACGCCTGCATTTCTTGCAGCAAAACGTGCATCGGCTAACCGTCTCTTGTGAGTCCAAGTCGCAGGCATTTGCAGTCTCCTCTCTTTGCCCAGCCGCCTCCTTGCCTTTTTTTTACCCTTCACACAACCACAGAGAACAACACTTTGCTCAAAACTGCCTAATGAACTTGGTGGTGGCCGTTTCAAGCTGGAATTCACACTCATCTGACAATTATTCGTGCAACCCCAGCTGCCGGCTGA